AAAAAAAAAAAAAAATCTCACAACCCTTCCCCCAACTTCTTATGCAAAAAGAAAGGTTAGGCCTGCCGCTGAGTCCTGCAATACTCCCTTCCACACAGAGCAGCTGTTGCTAACAGGCCTCAGCTGTTAGCCGGCCCCACCAGAGGGTAAGAGGCCTCAGACATCTGGGGAGGGAGGCTCCATCATTCATAAGGAAATTCCTTGGAGGCCCTAAAAACAGGGACAACACGGATGTGCAAATTGTAACTCTAGGCCTGCCAGCTAAGTTTAGCTCCTAAACAAAAGCCTGCTCAATTCCATGCTAGTAAATGTTTTTCTAGCTTTTTTTTTGACACAGTCTCTTTGTCACCTGCCTTCGGTAGAGTGCCTAGCATCATAGCTTACAGCAACTTTGAACTCTTGGGCTCAAGCGATTCTCTTGCCTTAGCCACAATGTTAGGTGCTTGCCACAACAGCCTGCTATTCTGAGAGATGGGAGGGGGGGTCTTGAACTCCTAAACTCAGGCAATCCAGCCCACTTCAGCCTCCCAGAGTGCTGGGATTACATGTGTCAGCCACTGCGCCCAGCCTTGCTAGTAAATGTTGACTACAAGTTTATCCTCTCAGATGCAGAGCAGAGACCAGATCAAACCTCCTTCCACCTTCCCAGGGACAGCTGCATAATTGGTGCTTCCTTCCCTCCCTTTACCCTTTACCTTCCGTGGGCTCCTAAGAACTTAACCATTACCTGTGTAGGGCTCCTGGGCCTCCTAAGAACTTAACCATTACCTGTGTAGGGCTCCTGGGCCTCCTAAGAACTTAACCATTTGCCTCAGCCCTCCCTTTTATTTCCTATAAGCCTTCCTTTTTATTTTTTTAATTATTTTTTTAAGGCAAGTGTGAAAGTGTGAGGAGGCCAGACACAGGGGCTCACACCTGCAATCCTAGCACTCTGGGAGGCTAAGCAGGAAGTTGCTTGAGTTCAAGAGTTTGAGACCACCCTGAACAATAGCGAGACCCTGTCTCTACCAAAAATAGAAAAATTAGCTGAGCCTGCCGTGGACAACTGTAGTCCCAGTAACACAGGAGGCTGAGGCAGGACAATAGCTTGAGTCCAAAAGTTTGAGGGTGCTGTGAGCTAGGCTGAGTCCATGGCAATCTAGCCCACTCTAAATAAATAAGTAAAAAATCCAAAATTTATTGAGGAAGAGAAAGACAGGATTACAGAGCAAGATATGGTCTCCGTAGATAGTGAATGGAACCCATTCCCACAAGAAGTGGCAAAGAGGGAAAGAGGCCAGGCCCTCCCTTTTAAATACTGTCAATGGAAAATAAGCTGCATTCTGTAAAATGATCTAGCAGGTGTCCTCAAACTACGGCCCATGGGCCACATGCAGCCTGCCTAGGACATTTATCCGGCCCGGCCCGCCGGGTGTTTTTGCCACCGCTGCCTGTCCTGCTTAGTAGCCAACTCGTCCCGGGGCCCGCAGTCCGGCCCTTCAATGGTCTGAGGGACAGTGAACTGGCCCCCTGTTTAAAAAGTTTGACGACCCCTGAAAAGAGTATACGTGGGTTTAAAGATTCTTCAGTCGGCAATCAGCTGAAAGAGGTAGGCTCTAATAGAGCAAGAGTCCGTGAAAAGGAATGTTGAGTTAAGGGTCTGTTAATCAGAGACAAAGTACAGAATTTATAAAGAGTTCTATTTAATTGGCTTAAAGAAAAAAATAAGTACTTCAATTAAGTATGCTCTCAGAAAAACAGAAACTAATTCAGTTAGTTTTTAGTTCATGTGACTTGGTTAAATTTTTGGTAAATGTGAACTAAAATAAAATCTTAAGTCCCCCACCCCGCCCAGTGGTTGACTGATTGGATCCCCTCACCCTTGGCCAAGGGAATCCCTAAAACTGAGTTGCTACTCATGAAAAGGAAGACTCTTTCATCATGCCCCCTCCCTTTTCAGAGATGTCCTTGGTGACTCACTAACAGGCCTAAGGCTCTGGAGACACACCTGCAGGTCCTCAATATACACAACAAACCACTGAAGTCTGGGTTTATATCTTGTAGTTTGTCTTTGAGAGCCTAAC